GGTACGCGGGATCCGTAACGACCTCTGGCCCGACTCGGACATGACCCTGTTCAATGAACTTGACAGCCTACATTATCCACCTGGCGTTAGTTAACGGGCCTCACAACGTCTCTCCACCGGTGACGGGCCACAACGCCACACTGCAGCTAAGCCAGCTAAGCTAAGCCTGAGTGTTTCGGTTTCAAGTTACCGATCAAGCCACGACATGGGTTATTCGGAACAACGAGGGAAAGGAATGAGAAAAAATCTATCACATACCGCCGATATGGTCTCACACATCTTTAGCCTCGTCAAGACGACCGGCAGCCTTCTCCGGCAGAATGCCGACACAGTGACCTTGTTCTCCACATCGGACATCTTTGTCTTTTGCGCGAGGATGCCCATGGAATGGAGCTTGGCTAGGAGCAAGTCCTCGTGCTTGCGGCGCACCGGGTCGGAGGGCTCCAACAGCGCAAGACGGTGCGCGAGATGGCGGATGGACCCACAAATCTTGTTGTACTTCGCGTAGGTGGCAGGATCTTGGATGTGGTAGCGACGCATAACATCATGGTCGCGGTGGCCCTTGTCTGATTTCCATTCGAGGAAATCTACCTTTCGGAGGAGCCTTGGAGCAAGGGGAGTTTATTGTTAGCGATGATGGTATAGCGAAGGCAAGGGGTGGAGCGGGGGGGAACTGGGGGCAACAGGAAGGGAGATGCAGCGAGGTGAGGTGGTGAAATACTTTTGTTCGTGGTGCTTGAGTTTGCGGACCATTGCTGTTTGCTGTGGGGTTGAGTTTCTAGGGGTGAGGTAAGGTGTGTTGTTCGTTTGAGGATTGAATTGTGGGAAGCAGCGCCAGTGGTTGGATGAAGTGCGGTGGTGGTGAGGGTTGAAACAGTGGGAGGCTCAAAAAGAAAAGCAGGGCTGCGACATAAGAGATTTTTTTAGTGCTGGTCCGTGCTTTGAGATTGCTACTATGTATCTCTTCGTTCGTTTTCACGACATTCAGCGATTGGTGGCTCACCATACAAATTGTAGAAGCTAACTGCAAATATCGGCTGGCGGTGCAAAATTTCTTAGTGGAGTACCGCAGTATTGAGAAAATTCGTTGCGAAAGTTTTGAGGAGAATTTAGATGTAGAAGAATCGAATTGTAAAGTTTATTCCTTTCCTCCCAATTTATCCTCCTCGCTTAGACCTACCTAAGTCATCATCCCATCACCACCTCTACCGCAAAACCTCGAGAAATTCGCTAGCTCCGTCCAGGGATTATCTCTCGAGTGATTGGTTGGATGGCATCGATCTACGTCAGATGTTTCCCATAGAAGTAATTTTGATCTCACGGAGCTAGCAAATTCTTCGAGTTTTTGCGGTACTCTACTCGCGTTTCCAAATACGACCAATGGAGAAGTGCTTGATAGTGATATTCACCACATCAGGAAATCATCATCTGTGAATTTGAAGATGATCATGCAAGGAGACTGGTTTCGTGACGAATGAACGATACTTTGTATTAATATTATAGAGCGGACACCAACTTGACGATGAGAGGGAGACTATTGCGTGTTGGCCTCGGGGATCTAGATACTCTACGTAGCGTCTCTTCGTGGACCAGTCACGTGCCAAACAGTATCACATTATTAGATCTCTTAGGGCGCGCAATTGCATATACTGTTTGGAATATCACAAGGCTGAAGATGGCAAGGCCCCAATATATCGCAACGAGAATTTCCCATAACTACATGTGCATGTATAATAATCATAATATATTTTCAAGAATAGACTCGAGTCTAGAATAACCCATCACACTCAGGTGAATACTATGCAGCTGGAAAACATTGTTTGCATTAACTTCTGCGGCTGTAGCATTAAGAAGGATGAGAGCTACATGTTTTTGGGTATAACAAAACAACTGTCGACCAAACATTCAGGTGAGTCATGAACGTCGCTGTAATTATGTAGGTAGGAGATCGATTGTGATCCAGACTAGGAGAAAACACATAGGTACTCTTTACACTACATGTACCGGGTGTAGCGAAAAGTGATCAGAATCTGATAAGACAAATACACGTATTCACCGCAACATTCACTTATCAGATTCTGATCACTTACCCTCAACACCCTAGTACATCACAACCAGACCTCACCACGATGAAGGTGCACGTATTAAGTACGTACATGTTACAGGCGTTGTTGGCTGTTCTTCGTATTCAGGTAGTGATCCTTAATTCTCAACAAATTTATGCAAACGTGAATAACTTGGACTAGCGATGAACCGATGAGGTTCTGATGATGACGATGAAGTAGCTAGAAACTATATGTATGCTATGCTACAAGTTGTCTCATTAATTCTTTTTTACCCCGATTTGTCATCTATGTAAGCGGTAATATGCGCCACAGCATTGCGAATCCGGAGCGAGTAGAGTAGAGAGGTAAACTGAGCATGTATGTACATGTCTACTATGTGTAACTGGATAGACAAGCACAGTAATCACCAAACCTTTAAGATACATCATATAGGTATTTTTACTTCGGCATATCTGGCGAACCAAGGAATCAGGCTGATGGATCGCAATCGATGCGATGCAAATCTACATTCCTCACATCGCATTCCCAGTACTCTCTCTAGAGTACCTACATGTACAGATTGTGGTAGAATTAATGCGAAAGTGGGTTTTCCGTGACCCGATAGTCCCATTGGCCCTCAAAGGAATTTTTGCAGTGAGCACGGGCCAAGAAACCCACCCTTTTAGTTCTGACTTTCGCAATAATTCTACCGAATACTGTATGTACTCAGTAGTGGCGTATCCGGCTCTCACTCGGCTAGCAAGTGGTTGGCCTGGTTTGGTTTGGTTGTTGTTACGCAGACTCAGTCAACCAAACCAAACTCTCTCTCCACCACCTCAACCTACAGTACTAGCTGCAACCACAGTTTATGCCCGCAGAGACGCCCACTGATTCATAAGTTCTGACAAGCGCGTGTCCGGCCCGATGCCCGGTCTGCCACAATCACGAAATCAGATAACAAAGCTGTTGCTAAGCAGCTTCGAGAGCCGTGAGTAGCCGGTTGTCTAGCTAGATCAGATAATAATTCTCGTGTCTGTGCCCTGCATGACTGATAGATACATGTAGCTCATGAAGCAGAAAGAAGGACGACAAAGACTCAAATAAGCTTCGCAAAGCAAAGCAAGCGAAACCGGCTAGCTTCTCGGCCCGTAGTTAAGGCCTTTCCCCGTAGTTAACCCCACTCCTTACATCATAGCCAATTTGTAATGAATTGAAGATCTCTGTCTCCCCCGGGCCAGCTTTATCAACCCCACATCAGCACCCCTTCATGCTATATCACTCACTTCCTAATATCACCTCCCACCTCCCCCCACCTCCCCCACCACAACCACAACCACAGCCACAACCACAACCCAATAGCCAAACAATGACCACCCAAATCCCCACCTTCCACCTCCCCACCGGCGCGCCCATCCCCGCCCTCGGCTTCGGCACCGGCACCGCCTGGTACAAGTCCGAGTCTGAGCCGCTCAACCGCGTGCTGATCGACTCCATCAAGTCCGCGCTCGCGCTGGGGTACCGCCACCTCGACTGCGCGGAGGTGTATGGCACTGAACCCGAGGTGGGCGTTGCGATCAATGAGAGTGGGATCCCGAGGGAGGAGCTGTTTATCGTTGCGAAGGTATGTATAGTTTATAAGCAGTATTAGCTAGTAGTTTATTATTATACTTGCAGTTGCAATTGGGATGTATGGTATAGAGTCGGAAGCTAACTATGTATAAAACCAGTCTCTCAAAACCCTCGACGACCCCGAAAAAGGCCTGAACGAGACCCTCCGCAAGCTCCAAACCGACTATGTAGACCTGTAAGCCTCCCCCCCCCCCCCCCTCCGCGCCCGCACCCCACTCCCCGCCCGCACCCCACTCCCCGCACATCCGCATACACCCTACTAACCCCCCCTCCCAGCTTCCTAATCCACGCGCCCTTCCTCCCCCCCACGCACCCCCTCACCATCCCACAAATCTGGGCCCGCTTCGAAACCCTCCAAAAATCCGGCAAAGCCCGCTCCATCGGCGTCTCCAACTTCACCGTCCCCCAACTCACCTCTCTCCTCACACACGCCACCATCCCCCCCTCCTACAACCAAGTCGAGCTCAACCCCTACTGCTTCGATGCGCCCCTCCTGCGCTTCTGCCAGTCGCACAACATCCAGCTGGCCGCCTACTCGCCGCTGGGGCCGCTTACAAAGTTCCCCGGGGGCCCCTTGGACGGCGTGGTGAAGAGGATCGCGGAGGAGAAAGGGCGCACGGAGTCTCAGGTGCTGATCAGGTGGGGGGTGGAGATGGGGGTGGTCGTGGTTACGACGAGTAGTAGGGCGGAGAGGCAGGAGGAGTTTAAGGGTGTGGATTTTGAGTTGGGCGAGGAGGTGATGCGGGAGATTACGGAGGTGGGGGGGAGGGAGCATCATAGGATTTATTGGACGAAGGATTATGAGAACTAGGTGTTTGCTAGTTGGTCTAGGTTCTTAGTTTAAATACCGAGAAAGAAAAAAGAAAAATAGTAGAAGTTCGGGGTAATAAATATTGGAATCATGAGCGAGCACTCGCCGTTTTATTACAGGGTGCGCGGATCATTTCTGGTGACACAAGGTTGGGTTGCTTGGCTTAATCATCACTTTCATAACAACTCAAGCGTTATTACCCAAAGCGAGGTGCAGAGGAAATAAGCACTGTTTACTGTTGAGCAGGACTTCATGGTAGTCATCTATTATCATGCCCATGGCCAGAATGAGACAACAAAAAATACACAAGAAACCATTGACCCAATGAAAAAAAAGAAATGAAAATGAACACAAAAAGAAAGGCCAAAAAAAAAAAAAAAAAACGGAACTTTTTCCAAAACAGAAAGAGCGCCTTAAATATTTAACAGAAACACACATGAAAAGCACACATGCCATGGCCTTTCTACACTCCTCAAATGTCCTATTTACCCCCCCCCCCCCCCTCTTTCTCTCTCTTAAACAGCCCCTGGGCCCCTATAACCGTTCCCACCCCCATTACCCTTCCCCGGGTCCAGCAGCAGTGTAGGCTTGATGTAACCCTCATCCAGTTTCCGGAACCACTCTGCCTGGTCGTCGCTAGTCCCGGAAAATATACCTGTTAAACTATTGAATGCGCTTCCAGCCGTGATACCTATGCTCGCAGCCTGTGTCTGCGTTTGCGCCTGAGTACTGCTACCTTCGCCGTTCCCACTTGCACTTGCAGTTCTAGTTATGGATGCCCCACGGGGGCGTACGGTGGTCGGTATCATAGGCGGCAGATCATCGATATCACTATCAGCATCGCTATCATTCGAATCCGTGCGCAGAAGCTCCGGTTCCCGTCGGCCGCGCCTACCAAGCGGTGTATCTTGTGTGTCTGGGGAGATGCCTCGTTGACCAGACGCGTAGATGCCGCTGTCAACATTGGACAAGGGAACAGAATTGGGACCCATGCCTCCGCGGGGAGACTTGAAGTAGGGGCCAACGGTTTCGATATCAAACTCATCATCAGAATCTATTTCTTCCACTACGCCTGTACGAATGCCTAAAATCTCAAGCATTCGAGCTGTGGTACCACCAAAGACGATGACAGTGAGCACGACGACGACAAGGACGGTTGCTCGGAGTGGGTTCCCGTTCTCGCCAGTAATACCGGCAGCGAGGGCTACACCGACAGCTCCACGAAGTCCGGCCCAAAAGAGCATAGCTTGATATGAGTGCGGGAGTTCATCGGCCGCGGTTTGTCCGCGTGCTCTTGCACGGGAGCGAATGACAAAATTGATGAGTTTAGAGAGAGGAAACACTGCAGCCCAACGAGCAACGCAGATACCGATTGTAGTAACGAGGATGAAGAGAGGGCGGAAGACAAGCTGGGTGTCAGTAAAGAGTGAAAGGCCGAGGTAAATGAAGATAAAATTCTCGGAAAGCTGAGCGAGAACTTGGAAGAGGTATTTCGTGGTGAGCTGAGTTCGGCGGGACATGTTGTAATAAGCGTAATGTTTGAGTGTGATACCGCAAAATAGTAGTGATACGATCCCTAAATAATTGACGAGTAAGCTTTATAATTTCAAAGAATCATGAATAGTGGAATGCCTCCATTCGGAGCTATCATACCAGACATGTGACATCCGTTCGAAAAAAGGTACGATGAATATGCTATCAGGAGGATAAATGAACTCTCAATCTTCGGGAACCTCCGAATATATGTATATTTCAATAATAAAGCCGTTCCGATACCGATAAACACTCCAATCAACAAACTCACGGTGAAGACAATGAAGAAAATCCCGATACCCTTGAACAGACTTCCAACACTTGCTGGCCCATGTCCAGCTCCGTGGAAACGTTGGGCAGTCTCGAACATGACAATAGCAACTGCATCGTTCAAGATACTCTCTCCGAAAATCACAGTATAAAGCTTCGGATCCACTTTATATGTGTTGAATATAGCGAGAATAGTAACAGGGTCCGTCGCGGAAAGGGTCGCGCCAACTGCAATAGCTTCAACGTAGGAGATATCAAGCGTCTCTAGAGGTCCCCAAGACCAGATGAATACTATGGTTCCTAGAACTACTGCCGAAATAAAAGTCCCAGCAAACGCAAACGTCAAAATCGAGCCTATATTCCGGAAGAAATTCGCTTGATGCAGCTCATAACCCGAGTTGAGAATAATCGGTGGTAAAAGTACATTGAAGAAGATCTGGTAGTCGAATTTGACAAGGTTTTGAATATTGTCACCAGGAGTGACCCTGATTAACAGCCCCACGAACATACCTACCCCATCCCACAGCATTAGCTTAGCTCCAGATGCAGCTCCCACGATACTTTCTCGACTCCAAAAAGACCACAAGGAAATAAAACTATACCCGCAAAAATCGACACCACAGTCTCGTGCACCGCCTGTATCTTCTTCAGCTGCAGATAGTAACTGCAGAACAGTGCTAATATCAGTAGCGATACCTGGATAAATAACGCCCATGATGATATTATTTCCGATTCGCCGGGATCGGTAGGTTCTGCAAAGTTCTACACGTTAGCCATCGTGAACGAGCTCTCCCTGGATTTGCACTTCTCCCATCCGTTCATCGGTAATACAGCCGCAACCGTAACGCAAAGCTTTGAGGGGGGAATATCAACAGTCACTAAGAATCCGTACCCTCAGTATCCGGCTCCTCCGCTTCGCGCTCTATCCACCACGCCCACGACAGTCAGTTTCATCTATCCCATTCGGACACGTTTCCCAGAAAGGCTACAAACTCAACAGCGCGAACACCAAATCCGTCACCACACTCATAGCAGCAAGCTCGCCCTCAAGAGAATGGATATGTTTCGCGATAAGCAAACAGGAAACGAATGGCGGGGTGGGGTGGCTGTTATCGATGTCTCGGGTCGTGTGGGGGGGTGGTGGTCGATGTCGTTGCAATAGCTGCGGCGGGAGCTCACGGGCTGGCTGAGAGATCCATACACCTATGGCACCTATGGCGGAAGTCTAGGCAGGTGCCCAGCGGAGTCGGCCGGAGGAGCCGCGACGTCTCTACCGAAAACTTTAATTCTACATAATGCCCTTACGTACTCGGCCCGCTGCCGGCTTGGCTACACGATACAAGATTGGCGGAAGCTGTTTAGTCTCGTGCCCAGACTCTTGTTGTGAACTCGTTCCTCGTTCTGCAGACTGCAGAATCGCACCACAGGCTAGGAACAAGACTAGAAGCTGTTCTACAAAACGAGCGTAGTAGTACTAACTCAACGTTCCAGCAGTATTAACCAACAACTAGCTGGAGTTTGGCATCCTGCGCGCGGGCGTCTGAATAACTGTCGTCATTCTCAATACTTCAACATACATGGCATTTGAAACTTGACTCTGTGTCCGTCTTACAGACATTGTGCGCAGAAATGAGATCACACTTGCTAAACGGTGTTCTGGTTGATACACAATGAACAATCCGAGGGGGAAAGGGAGAGCAACTCGACAACTTCCGGCTCAAAAGAAATATAATAAACTAACTCTACACCCTAACTCTTACAAAAACAGAGATGTCGATCAGGAGCAACATTCGCTGCCCCTCTTCTATTTTTCTCTATACTTACTATACCCAACTGAAAAAGCAAAAATGCAGGGCAGTCTGAACAAGAAAATATGAGGTAAACGAAGTTTACCGAAAAGAAAAGAAAAAAATACAAGAGCATGACCGCATGTCGGCGGAAAGCCCACAAATAATAGCTCATAGGAGCAAAATCCCCAATGTCCTAACAAAAAGCAACCTCCCATGAATACTCACAACATGCAGAATACGGAAAACCCAGCAGGAAAACTCCGACCATCTAAACGTCATCTCCCTCATCAAGTCGTCTATAATTTCCTCCGGTCTCATTTTCGGATTTTCCGCCAAACACTCCCTTGATCCATCCGCCGATCCCGCTTCCGCCTCGGCTACGGTAGGCTGGTGAGGGTGTTCGCTTTGCATCTGAGCGGCCGATATCGAGTGAGGGCACTGGGCTTCCAGTGCGGCTTGGGTGAAGGAGTGAGTCTCTGGCAGTTGCCGGTGTTGCGACGACGGTTTGATCTCCGAAGATTTGATCCATGTCTTCCAGCGCAACGCCCTTGGTTTCTGGATATACAAACCATACTATAGAGCCCATTAGTTACGAATATCACACAATTTGATTTTGATACTTACCAAGCACAAAACTGACGGCGCAAAAGAAGGCATGGACCAGGTAGAGTCTCCATTTGATCCAATCTTGTAGAATGGGTGTCATTTCACCAACCAACCAGTTGAAAGCCCAATTAGTCGCCGTTGAAAGAGAAGCACCCTTAGCTCTGATGCTCAAAGGCATGATCTCCGGTGGGTACAACCATGGGACAGGTCCCCATGAGTATCCGAAAAATGCGTTATAAATGATAACAAATATAACAACCATCCGTGGTGTATAATGCACGTCGATGTAGATGAAGTAAGATATCGCTGAAAGTGAAAGACACATAACAATAGCACCTGATAAAAGAATCGGGCGACGACCCCATTTATCCATAAGATACCATCTATCACCAGCATCAGCATCAAACTTCTTGGGTTTGTGTCTAATCTAAGAGAACTTACGGAGGAATGGTACTCAAGACATAAACAATACCATTAATACCGGTCATTAAGATGGCATCGCGACCAACCCAACCAGCTTGTTCAAAAACCAACGGGGCCTATCATTGTTAGCTTTTATGGTCGATTATTATGAGATAAAAAATAGTTTGAAATGACGTACATAGTATGAGATCACGTTGATACCGTTCAGTTGAGCGAATGCTTGGGATGACATGGCAATCAAGAGACGCTTCCTGTATCGAGACCACATCTCTGAATATGAGCGCTCGCCCTCTTGGCGTGTCATGATAACGTTTTCCTTGATTTCACGGAATTCGTTCCTGGCATGTTCGTTGTGGACGTCTCCACCTCCATAAAGATTGGCCAATACGACCATTCCTTCCTCATCGTGATCATTGTCAAGAAGCCACCTGTAATAGAGTTAGATATTGATATTTTACCCATATTTTAGCAGGTTGAATTTACCTTGGGGATTCAGAGATGATTAATGAACCAATTGCGAGAAGAGCGCCCATGATACATTGCATGGACAACGGTAGACGCCATGACATATTGCTTTCGATGTAGGTGCAGCCGTAGTCAACCCACACACTAGATGCATATCCGATGATATTACCAGTGAACTCAATGCATGCAAGTTGACCTCGGTTATGGGAAGGCGAGATCTCGGATTGGTAGACCGGGACGATGGTTGATAAAGCTCCAACACCAACACCAGCAATGATACGGCCCAGTACCAACATTCCCATGCCATTTGAGAGAGTCTGAAAAGCACCTCCAGTGACAAAAATTACAGCTCCCCAGAGAATTACTCTTCGGCGACCATAAACATCACCTAATCGACCAACTATAAGAGAAGAGAAGAAAGCTCCAACTTCTAGAATAGCAACCATAGTCCCGATCTCAGCTCGAGTTGGCTGATTAAAGTAGTCTTTAAAATATGGTCCACTGCGGACAGAATCAGCACCTTGTACTGAGAACATGTAATAAGAATAGACAGCGTTCATACGTTATAATACCAGACATTACACCTTGGTCATAACCAAATAAGAACACACCCAAGCTCACGAAGATACTTGTAAAATATCTTTTAGAAATCAGCTAAACAGTTCTTTTCCATTAGGCTCTAGGTATACAAACAGTAACGGCTTACCCGTCAATCCATGGATTGACGAGCCATTTCTCCCGCCAGACATGACGGAAGCTAGTATTCGCTGCGCGTTGGAAGCTCTATTCACAGGCGTTGGTATATGAATTACTATTTCTTTCGTACTGTGTCCGTGATCGGACGATTCAGTCGACTGCCGAGATTTGTTAGATTTCCTGGAGCCAGTACGGCGGTGTTTACTAGAGGAAGCTGTAGGAGTAATCTCGTCAAGAGTCTCTCGTAGTTTTATAGATACGGGATCCTCCTGGTCTTCTAGCTGTTCGGCTAAATCACCAGTGTCGCTCCACGAAAAGTCGTCTGAGTCTACAGACAACCTCGAATGTGAGGAGTTCCCGCGATGGGAGCTATCGTGGGAAGGCCCAGGTAGTAGGGATTCTGAGTGTAGACGGTCACGATCCCTTACCGCTGAGGATGAAGCTAGGGTACGAAGGGGTATTTGAGTCTGGCGGGTAGACGATGTGGAAGGAATGGTGAAGGCGGTTGGGCTGGAGAACAGCCGTGTTCTTCAAGGTGTGAAGGGTCCAGGACGGCAGCCACGGCTCACGGGCTGCGGGAAGGGCGAGGGTTTTGTTCGGGGAGGGGGGGAGCTTTCCAAAGGGGCTTTTCCTGCTTTGCCACTTCGTGTGGGTTTCAAACCTGGTCACGTAGAGGGTGGTAGGCAAAGAGATGAATGAGCGTGGTGGTTGCTTCTGCTGATGGTTGCTGAGCTGTGCAAGTGTTTAGACGTGCAGCAGCTGAGTGTTGGATGATGCTTGGATTCTGTGAGTGCGCGGCTCCTTGGTACCTTGCCAGAGGCACAAGACCTGGATCAAGGAAATGATAATATCACTCGACTATTATTTTTAATCTATATGAAGTTGATATATAGGAGTAGAGTACAACATCATTCACTTCATAGCTGTTCTTTCTACTAGAATCCGTATTTCATGATCATGACTCTTTCCTACACCTTTCGAAGGCTCATTATCCAGGCAGGATATACATACATGTAACTACAATTGATGATAACCGAGGTGGTGATATCATACAAGCAGGTCAAGCCGACAAAAGTTACTTCTGTATAATTGTTTTTTTGGAAACATAACCAAAATGGTAAATCATAGCTCTTTCAAACTAAATGCTACCTATAGTGGAATAGTTTCAGGTCGAAATGTGATGTCCAAAGCGCACAACTTAACATAAAAACTAAGTACACACCGGATAATTGGGCGTTCTAGGTTACAGAGCGACAGCCGGTACTTACTCTGTGTGGACAACGGCTCGTGCAGACATGGTGATCCTCGAGTTCCATTTGTTTCTTGTCCAATCGCATCCTGGCCTAAAACTACGTTATCTTTGCGCTCCGGCTCTTGCGCATAATCCGTCTAAAAGCGTAGAAATTTCGCCGGAGGACGCCTTGTTAGAAACAATGTTCTTCAAGAACGTGAGAACTTCAGAAGCTGTATTCATGTTCAATAACATCAGCTTATATAGACGTACTCGATTCCCATCTAGAATCATAGGACTATTTCTTGCATGAACCCTGCATCTACTTACCGTCTCAAATATCTTCGAATAAATCAAGATCTGAACTGGAGGAGTTTAAACAAAAGCAAAGATCAAGCTGCATAGAGTTATTGGTGGTAAGCTAGAGTCGTAACCATGTGATCGTCATGAAGTCTATGCAGACTAAAATCTAGCTAGCCAGCGCCTCCACAGTCAATATTGTAGAGGAAGAGTTGATAAGAACTGCAATTAAATCCTACTTGAACTTTACATTCTGCTTCTAATCAGTCTTCAGGCTGAAGAATTGCAGAGCTTATCGAGGCTTTTATTTTGTTTCGACGTTGAGATTAACCTCTGATACTCGAAGAAGTAGGAACACTCGAGAAGGCTGCGCGGGGAGTCGCGGAATACGCCGGTAGAAGAAGTCCCAGGTTCTCATCACACTAGTTAACGGATGCGGGGCACCGAAGGAGTGTAACATGTCGGTAGGTACTCGGGGCAGGCAAGAAGAACCTGAAAATAGCTTTTTATGGTAACGAC